AGCAATGAGTCAACCTTAAAGGAGTAATTAACTAAGAGAATTAACAATTCTATATTGATTACATTTTGCCACTCTATTAAATTACTTGCTAATTCTTGTTTTGTGCTTGTGTCTTTCTTTTTTATTACATTTTAATATTTTATTCTGTCAAGACTGCTGATAAAAGCCTACTGAGCAGTGTGCCTTTATTAATAATAAGGGTATATTAGCACCACACATTCCACCTCTGTAGACGCTCCCCTTCCCACGAGATATAAGGGACATCCCTTCCCACAAATGAGGTAAGGGACCTTCAGTTGTGGAAGATAGTGGCCTTTTAGCTGGCTAAAATGAATGCTTTCATCCTCCAAATCCTTTGGCATCTTTCTTCCTTAGTAGTTGGTTTCACAATAAAGGGAAGAACTTTTTTAAAACTCCCACTAAGGGAAAGTTTTCACAGAAGCCTTCCATTTCTTACATGTTCCTTAAGTTTAAATCTCTTTGATAACTACAGATTTACACTCTCAGTGTATCTTATTTTATAGCAAAGCATTTATATCTAGTTTTCACTTTTTCAACAAAGATTCTGTACCTTTGTACAGTGGTTGATGAGAATTAGTCACCATTAGTTATTTAGAAAAGTTTTATTATAGTGTTAGTAATTACGTATTTTAGCAAAAAAAATTTCCAAGGTGACATTTTGAAGAAAATTGTTGATATATTTTATATATTAGTAAAGGCCTGTCTGCACAAACCAGTCTTTGAAATAAGTTGTGATATTAAAGGCTAAAGTCCTTGAAACCTTCCTGCAGAAGAGAGAGTAAAGCAAAACAATATCCTTGTGTATAAGAGAAAGAGTGCAAACCTGTGTGTATTAGCCAATAGTAACTTGCTTAGCCCGTGGACCCTGTAAAACCCTATAAAAGGTGTGCTAAAGATAGAAATAAACAGCGTTCACGTTTACTTCTGTGAAGGCTGGTGAATAAAGTGGCGGACTCTCAATAGGAAATTATTTTAAAGGTTCTTGATTAACCATGGTTTCTCAAATTTAAACTGCTCTTGACAACTGAAAATCCTACAATTCAGGGCAAAGCAGTCTACAGAACTTAAAAGGAAGGTTCACCACTCATAAATTCAATATGTGTGAAAGTCTGAGGGAATGGAAGGAAACTATGTGGAAAAAGAAACAAATTTTAAATTATGAAGTATATTTAGAATAACCAAAAAAGATCAACACTGCCAATTTTATAATAATGTATGATATTGTCACTAGAGATGTATCTGTGTTTAATATCTGTGTTCTTATTTTGCTTATAAAAGTAGAGATTTTTAATTTGATTTCAAATTAATTTCCAGGGCAAGTTCAGGACTAAGATGATGATGCTGTATTGACATTTGAAAAATAAGAAATAATTAAATTATTTTTTGAAGTTAAATTATTAAATAGGGAAATTTTCCATGGGCTGTAAGGGGCCCCTCAAATATCCCCAGTTCATCAACGAACCATTTAAAGATGAACCTTCAAAGCTTCTTGATTTTAAGTGTGATTTATTTTAAGTTCTGAAAGTTACCTACTTAGTCTCTTATTCTTGTGAAAAATCTTGCTACTCCCAGTGAAATCTCTGCATGTTGATATTTTGCAAAGTTGGTGCCGCTTCAAAAGGTGCGAAAACATGAGCTGGTCTGAGAATTCCTTTCCTAATGTTTTGCCTTTTCCTGTGTCTCACTGCCCCGTGGTTTAGGTGTGTAGAGCTGAGCACACCGAAACAGGCAGGTGTTGAGCACAGGAGGCACCCTGGAGGTCTGTTCCTCTGGCTGTAACTCATGACACTGAATCATGCATCCAGCTTCCCTCTGATGGCAAACAAATATCACAGGCCTTCCAGGACCTGAGGGAGTCAACAGGGAAGATGAAGAACGACTTTACAAGGGCATGTAGTGACAGGATAAGGGGAATGGCTCCAAATTGGAAGAGAGCAGATTTGGATTAGATAGTAGGAAGGAATTATTTGGTGTGAGGGTGGTGAGGCACAGGAACAGGCTGCCAAGAGATGTCTCATTACTGGAAGTGTCCAATGACAGGCTGGATGGAGCAACCTGATCATGTGGGAAATGTCTCTACCTGTGACAGGGATTGGAATTAGATGATCTCTAAAGTCCCTTCCAACCCAATTCTATGTTTCTATTCTGATTATTTCTTGATGAAGTCTATCTTTCTGTGATTTTTCTCATTAGTACAGTGGATTTAAAGCTTCCAGATCACAGACAAAACTGCAGCCACCATGTTTAGTGGACTCCTGCTCTGTAGAGGCACCCACAATTTTTGACCCATTTGGATAGCAGAGGACAAAATGTGGAGAAGCCTGGGTCAGTCTATGAGAGAGCACTGCTAAAATACAGATATTGGAAATGCATGAGTTGAGATCAACCTCCAAAGCAAATCTGCTTAGCAGAAATACAGGTGCTGGGGTAGGGAATTATGCTGGATTCCCTGACAAAATTTGCTTAATAACACACAAATCCCACAGATCAAGACATCGCTAGGGTAGAGAAATTGGTGGGTGGCTTCAGCACATTCCTTCTGCATGGTAGGAAGGCAATGACCAGAGCTCATGTATCCTGTCACCAGGATGTCTTCTTTCTTACACTTGGAGTTGACCGCAAGTTCATTGTATTCCTTAGGAATCCAGAAAAATTGCAAGAATTATAAACTGAGTCAGGTGCCAGTGCTTGGTAATCATGGAGTGTGCTCTTTTACAGGATCAATTACTTGAGCAATTAATTAAATTAGTATTAAAAATTGCAGTTGAACACTAGAGATTCCATATTAAATATCTGAAAGTCTTTCAATTATTTCAAAGTAATTTCAGTTCTGAAAGAGCTTTTGGTATCTATTTTTTTCCAGTAATTTTCATCTATGAAATGAGGCTTAGGCAGTCACTTTTATCTGTATCTGTTTGTGTGCTCCATGTCTCACAATAACATCTGAACTGATTTGCTGAAGCAACAGGACTTTGCAGTTATTTTTGAGACTGCCTAAGGCTTTTGAAATTTGGAGCCAGATAATGGGAAAAGAAGCAAAGATCAAGACTGCAGTGTGAGCCTCTGTATCATTAGACAAAAAGAAAAAAGGAATCTACAGTGGGAGAGAACCTACTAGAAAACATCTATTTGTGTTTTTTGATCAAATCTAAATCCGAAAGAGATAAGACTTCACTAATACCAGTGCTCACAGAAGCATTACTTTCTGAAGCAAATTCAGTCTACATTTGTTTGTGCTTTCCTCTAGAGAGTTCATCCTTAATAGGAAACTTCCTTGAACTTTGGTTTGTATTACAAAGGAAATTTTTGTGTAAGTTGTATGAACTTTAAAATAGGAAAGTGTAGGGGAAATTTAAAGTCAACTCTATTCTGCTTGCCTATTATATTTTTCCATTATCTTATTTCTTTACATTTTTTACATCACACAAAACCAAATTTTCTTGGGAAAAAGAAAAATCTATCCATTTGGAGTGAGCTGATCTATGGCTTAACTACCTTTTGAGTCCTATTATGATTTTAAAATAAATGTAGGTAGATCTTGATGGTCATTGATCATAAGGGTCTTTTTTACACCCTTCTGGATAAGGTTACATACAAACCCTTTAGAGTAGTTCCATAAATATTGCAAAATATAGGGGCCACATAATCAACATGAAGGAAGTATAGCTATAACCTCAAATAATTTTTTGGTGTCAAAAGATGCACACAAACTATTTTTATGTATGAAAATAGTTATTAGAAAAAATAACTTGAAGCAGTGGAATAATTGGAATGTATTCAAATTGTGGTTAATTGAATTCTTCATCTGTGGCTTAGAAAGCCACACAGGGTACAGATTCTGCACAGAGGAAGCAATTTTCATTAACGGGATATAATTTAGAATGAGAAAACATATACACTCTGCCTGCAACACAGTTAGTAATTAATATGGAATAAATACATAGACATACACTGAGTTACCATATATCTACCTGTCACTCTGTAGAGCTTCAGCAACTCATTTGCATGCTAAGTGAGTATATTTATTCTGAGAGGCAACACTGTAACACTGCCTTCAAAAGTGGAAGACCTTTATGTCACAGCATTGGAAATGAGTCATTCTTGTTTTGAAAATGGCAAAGTGATATCAGAATGGTGATTTGATCTCATGCCTCCTTACATTTAAGAAGTTTGCTGGTTTCTGAACTGACACTGTACTATTAAAAAAGGTGATAACCAGTTCCAAAACTGATCATTATTTTTGAGGCTGGTCAATTTTCCTGAATTTGATTAGAGAAAATTTAAAACCTCTTAAGAAAGAATATTATTTATGTTTTGCATTCTAACTATCTCTAGCATTTATTATTTGATCTCTCACATATGCTGTTAATATTGGGATGTGTCTGCATGCAAAAAGCAAACGATTTGAAGGATTGAGAAGAATGTTTTGCAGGATGTATGAGAAAGCATGCAGTATCAGTGAAGGGAATTGCTGACTGAAAACCAACAGTACCATGGGGTCCAATCTCTGTCAGTGGCTTGCTGCATCACTTTAATAAGCAAGTTGAGTTACACCTAGTCTCCAAAACAGTTAAAGCTATTGGGGGTAAGAAATTCTGTGAGTCAAGATCTCAGAATGTGCTTGTGCACATATTAACAGTGAATGTGTTGGTACAAAGTCTAACCATGGTCTTTACCTCTGGAAAGGTATAAACAGAATTTTAAGCCCAGTTGCTTTTGAGACTGTGCCTTAACATGCACACAATTCTTGACTCCAACAAAACTGAAGAATATTCCTTAAATATTCCCTTGAATCAAAGCTCAAAACTTCAAATGTCTTGCAAGGATTTCTTTGTATTTCACCTAAACCTATTCAGCGCAATAACAGCACTCACAAATTTTCCATATTTCTGCCACATTTATTTTATGAACCACAATGATATTTAATATTACTGAACTGTAGGACTAGACTTCATATTTCCTTCTTCTTTCAACAACAGGTGGTAACAATATTGGCAAACATGTCTTTCTTGGACCAGTGTGCTTCAGAAATCATTCAAGGAAATGGTATGCATTTTAGCTGAATTATATCTTTTATTTATTTCTGGAGAGTCTGAGTAGATGGGAATGTAGTACTTACACAATAAAGGAGAAAGGCTTCACTAATAAAGCTTCATTTTGCATCCTGTCTCTGCTGGATATTGCACATTGCTGCAGGATGCAAAATGAGTCCTGGGAATGGTTCTACATAACCAAAATATAATGCCACTGTTTTAGGAAACTTTGCCTTTGTGACCATGTTGCTGGTGTTCTGTGTGTGTGACTTATTTCTAGATGGAAAGCAAAGTAGTAAAAAGTGTTTCAGTAACTTGTATTGTGGTAATACTGGTAATATTGTGGTAAGATGTAAATGCCTTATTAATACACCTGCCAGCAAATTCAAGGCCAAGCAATATAGAAAGACAGGTGTCTTTGCTTTTTTTTGTGGGTTTTGGGGTTTTTTTTTGGTTTTTTTGGTTTTTTTTGGGTTTTTTTGTTGGAAACATTAAATTACAGTGAAAATTCACATATATTGGTTTGCTAGGCCAAGTAGGCTGAACTCCTGTTAGACACCGCAGTGGACTGTCAAGGACAATGACAACAAGTAAAATTTGTGTATACACTCTGTCATGGAATTTCACAAGAAGCATTTTCCCCCTGGCTTTTGAGAGCGGTTGGCACTCATCTTGTGTGTAAAATATTTTTAGTGACTGCCTAATGTTATAACAAGCAGGTCCTAGTCAAAGACCACATTCTGAGAACAGTCTTCAAATTCTGGAGAATTGAGGTACTTTCTTCTCAACTCTGACTTCTTTGTATGTTGATTGATTATTATCTAGCTGCATGGCTCTGATGATAATTCTCTGAATTATTTATGCAAATGTTCTCTGATGCTACCTGATGTAATCTGAATGTCTAATAGCATATGGAGTCTAATAGCACATAATTGTCTTTACACTTAAAATAGTCTAGAAAAGAGAAATCATCATCCTTTTTTTGTGATGCTACAAGAAGAATATCAACTCCAACAGGCAACAATAAATTAATGAAGCCACTTTGACATGGATGACCTTGTCTCTTCTGGAATGAAGAGTTAGTCATACGGTAAACTTCAAGAAAGATGAATTCATCATTTCCTTCATTAAAGGATTCCTCATTCTAAAATACCCTTAAACAGTTTGAGAAAGTAACTTTTAAAGCCCTGCTTAAAAATATGTAAACAAACAAACAAACAAAAAAATTACTTTGAATGGGAGTGAAACTTCATTTAGAGACCTGAAATATGTCACTACAGGTTTTTCAGATAGTGATCATCTTTAAGTTAATTTAGAAGAAAATAAAGAATTACATTTGGCTGATTGAAATAAATTAGTGAAATTTAAAATACAAACTTTTAGAGGACGAAAGACTTAGTAATTTTCTAGATCCAGAAGTTCTGTAGCTTCCTAGTGAAGATGAACTTATGCATGGATAAGATGCACTTGGGTGCTGATGTCAAAATTGCAGCCTTCATTTATATGTTCTCCATGCCCTTTTTGGGCAGTAGCTGGTCTGTATTAACCCAGCTTCCCTCTTCCCTTTACTTCTTTGCATTGATTTTTTTTTGTTGGAGAGTGGATAACAATGGCTCTTGAATTCTTTTAGGTGTTCAACTTTTAATGGAAATGCTCTTTGAAAAATCCTCCTCAGGAAATCCAGCAGATGTTGCAGCTTGTGAGCGAGTCCAGCAGAAATCTGCAGTTACCCTGGCACAGCTCAGCCGAGATCCTGAGGTGGCAGATGCAGCCTTAAAACTCAGCTGTAAGGATGTGCCTCCTACTTAATGGCACTGTAAGGAGGTACTGCCAGTCATGGAGAAGCTCTTTTTAATTTTTAGCCTCACTTGGTAAACTTTATGAAAGATATTCCCTAAAGAATGACTGAGAAAATGGAGCTAAATGAACCTCTGGCTCATTTCCCAGAGAAACCTGAAGTGCAGCATCCACTCATCATATAGCCGTGCCTTATTGTGCCATCTGACACTGCTGCCTCCTCTGTTCCTTTATGTAAATCCTTGGGCAGGATCTGTCAGGGCACAGAAATCTGGGACCCCAGCAGGTCCAGGTGTGATGAATCCAATGGGAGGGAATGTGTTCTTTGGGTAGGAGTTTTTTAAGGGTGTGTGGGATGATTGGTAGCGAAGAAATGGAGGTCACAATTTCCACTCTGAAACTGCAGCAAGTAAATCCAACTTATTTGTTTATGCTTTACAAACATTAATTATGACTGCTCTGAACTGCATAGCTCCATCAAAAGTCCCTTAAGTATTTGCATATCATTTTTGCATTAGAGATCATATCTACTAAAAAAAAGATAAACATGATGCATCTTAAAAAATATCACAAAATAAGGAGTTGTTTTTCTAAATTATTTCTCCTGACACTCTTGTGCACTCAGGTGTTCCTCACCTGATTAAACTTTGCAGATCACCGACAGAAAGAAATAACGGTGAATCTGTTTTAGTGGCAAGTCTGGTATGTACATTGTAGTATTTCTTTCATGCTTATACTGGAAAATTAAGGAGAAAACATCCCTTTAGATTTCAAAATGTGTAAGTATTGCAGAAATGCTCTAAATTCATGTCAGGGTCTCCTGCTTTTCCCCTTAAGCACAATCCTGTACACTCTCAATTATTCATCCTTAAATTGAAGATTTAAGCACATAAGGAAAAATGGCTTCATCTTCACATTATTGAGCACCAAAAAAATTCCTTGGAACACTTCGGAATTTAAGGATTCATTAATTCCTAAATTCCATTGAAATTAGCTTTTAGTCATGGGGGTAGCAACCCTTTATCTGCACTCACACATATATATGAAAATATTTATGTAAAGCATCCAAAAAGGGGAAAAGATACTTCTTGCTTCCACTCCAATTCAATTTCTTGTTCTAATTGTATTGCCAAGACAATATAGTGCCCAGGCAAAGAGTGGGCAAGAGAAGTTTAACACTTTCTCTGCTCAGGAGAAAGATCCCATCTCCACTGCACAGACTACGAGCCAAGTGCCAGAGTTGAATGATTTCACCAAGCATTCTGTGACAGGGCCCTGGGGACATATGTGATCTTGGGTTGGAGCACAAGTTCTGGTGAATGAAGACTAAAGAATATTGTTTGACAGTGCTTTATGATATTAGTATTATTTTAAATGTAAAAGTAAAGCTCATTTATTGCAGCTTGTTCATTTAAGCAGGTCTTATTCAGGATGACGAGAGTATAAATGTGAGCATAGAAAATTCTGTGGTTATTCTTCCTTTATGCCAGGAAGACTTGTTAATCTTGTGTGGTTAGAGCAGAGACCCCAGAGCAATGGCAGGAAACCATTGCTCTGGGGGTTCTTCTGTCTCACTAATGATTCTTCTGTCTCACTAAGGTTGTTGCTGCACATTCTTTGAATCCATGCCTATTGCTTGAGACCTTACCTACCTCCCTGTCTCAGAAATTCTGTTTCTCCTGATATTTTAGTAACTGCCTGAAGATGTTTTCTGATAAAAATGTGGCAAAAATATTGTCCTTGAGACATAAGCTGCTTCAAGCTCTGATAGGTATTGTCACTGGTGTCTGAGGACTTGTACTGTACTTAGACCTGTTGCTCAGGTCTAAAAGTAATGTACCCCAATAAAATTGTAATTTAATAACTTTGCATGAGGGAAGATTCATCTGACAGATGAAGACAGTAAGGAAAGATTACCTAGCAGCAGAATTCCTAGACCTGCACAGTTCAGTTTTGAATTATGGCTGTTACTTAGATATTGTTATAATGGATTCCTGCAATGAAGACTTTGCCAAACCTGAGTGCGTTGCAATGATGCTGTTTTGTTTTTCTAGGCAGCCTTGTGGAGACTAGCACTTATGAGTTGTGATGGACTGGAAGAGTCAGATTTTCAGCAGCTGGTAAAGCCCAGACTCATGGATTCTTTTCTGCTGTGCACAAACATGGAAGAGAGCTTTGTATGAATGGGAGCCAAAAACCTTTGAACGGTAACGAAGGTGATAGGTATACAGTAAGATAACACATGAACAATTTTATTTTGGTTTAGCCCTATTGTTATTTATTACTTATTTATTCTAAACCAAAGAACATGTGCTGTATTAGAGTGAAGGAATAGAATGAGAAAACTTGTTACTGTATTTTGCAAAGAAAATTTTTAATTTTATTTTCCTGCCAAGACACACAAGACCTTATCATTGCCATCTAACAAAATGTTTTGTTTAATATAACTGAATTAAGGTAATGAAGCCAAGAATTTGTTGCTCTGATGTTAAATGCTTCTAATGATGTTTTATCACTGATATTTTTTCTATAGTTAGGACATTTTGTAGGTTTTATTAATAAATGTTTAGCCTCATCTGCATTAGGAGAAAAATAATTCTAAAAGCTGCAAGTATATACTTTGAAATGAAAGGGATATTGCAGTCTGAGTCCAGTTCATAACTTTTGTTATTTTTTAATAAATTATGTACCTGAGAGAAAAAAAATTCCAGAAAATGTTAAAATACTAGCCTTAAATGATAGTAGCATACTTTCTTAGGCTGTATAAAGATGTGCTCCATCAGAGGATGCACACTAACCAAAAGCTCTTTATTTGCATTGACTGAAATTTCCAGGAGAAATTAATAGAATTCTAGAAAAATCTTTGATGGTGTGTGTGTTTTATCTCATAATGTGAGATTTTAATGATTTTGTAATGATTTAAAATCATTACACAGCGATAATTTTCTCTCCTTTCCAAGCCTTACAAGAACTCGAAGTGCTAATGCCTAGACATGTTTTTAACATTCAAGCTACTGTTTTTGTGGAAAGTTGTTCACACCTATGCTAAATAATCTGAAGAGCTTAATTCATTGCAACTTGAATTTTCATTTTTCTGGTTTGCTAACCAGTCCTGTATTTTTAAAACTTAAATGGGACTCTTCAGAGCTCTGGAAGATGAGAAATGGATGATAACCTAAATAAACAGATGTAATTTTGAAATCAACATTTTTTCATGAACATTCTTTTTAATTCTTGCTTTTTCTTTTCACTGACAAACTACATATATTGAAAATTACTCAGCCAGCAATATCTTGTTAGTGTTTTTTTCCTTAACTTTTCATAAAGCACTCTGCAGATTATGAAAAAAGATGTAATCTTTTTCTTTATGGCTTCCAAACGTTGCTTTAGATCATTTTATGATCAGCAACTTCAGGGTACTAGGATATCTGCCAAAATCCTCCTACATTCCTTCCTTACTGTACTTTTTAGATATATTAAGCTGCTTACTTCATTAATGTTTCTTGAGAGTTATGTAGTGTTTAGATGAAAGGCACCAGGAAATTGTGAAGCTGTAATTGCCTTCCACATTTTCTGTATATGGGAAATCTGTCCTGCTTCAAGCAGTGTGACAATGGTGGCTACTTTTTTCTCCCTTGATTGTGCGGGTTGAGAAGTCTCTGTCTTAATGTCTTTCTTGTGAGCTCTTCATTTAATAATCTCTCTATCTGAATTTTAAAGCCTTACATAGAATGACCTCTGTCATGAGCAACTATTCAAAGAAAAGTGTTGAATCAGATGTTCTAGGAAGCACAGAGATGAACTCTGCTTTTTTTGCTTACTTTGAGACAGCTTCTTAAGTTTCCAAGATTGTTAAAATGTATGGTACTGTAAAACTTTAAAAATATTGTATTAGTGATGGACTTTAACACTTTCCTCACTAAGCAGAAATATATGTCTGAGCCCTGGATGTCTTGGTATAAAAAATGAATTAATAAATTTCATAAAAAACTAATTCAAAATAAAATCCCATTGCTATAATTCTGATAGCATGGCAATCCTGGATAAAAACACATCAAATTCTGTAGTGAATTTCTGTACAGAACCTCATTCTGTCAGCTTCAGCTAACACCAGAGATACAAGTTTCTAGATGGAGTAGGGTTTATCCCATAATAGGTAAATTTAAAATCTCATTTTCCTCACATGCACTGTGAACTGAAGCAGCTATTAAGAAATGCCATCATGACTCATAATGTTTTAATGTAATTTCTAACAGATCAATCAAATATTCAGTGAACAGGTTGGTAACAGCTGATTTGCCTCAAATACAGTAAAGTGAACCCACATCGATTGAATTTACTACAGATACTCTCAATCTGCAAATCTGGGTCCATAATCTAGGTTCATATTTTCCATTTAAATGTGTTTATATTATGGATTTGGCTCTAAAGTACATTTAGGTGAAACTCATATTTGCAGCAGAAAATATATCTTGAAAGAGCCATTTCAGCAGACCTCTTGTCACCTAAGTGTCCTCAAAACCATTTTATATAGGTCTGATTTTTTAACCTAGAACTGTGCATTTTATTTATATATGCTAAAGTTTATGAGAAAATAAACATGTCTCTAACTTTACCTCTTGATTCATTTGGAAATAATAAGTCATTAAAAATTCTGATATATTTTTCTCATTACTTCTGAATGAGAATTCTGGATTCTGAATGAATTCTTGATTCTTAATGTTTACTTTGAAAGTGACCCTTCAGCTTTTAAGCAGGGCAAGCAAACAAAAAAGAACAGTTGAAGCCAGAATAAGTATTTTTGCTTTCAAATGTAGTATAAATTAAAATATTTCATAATGAGAAATTTTCACTGAAATAAGTATTGTGGTGGCTTAATCCTTGGATTCCCTATGTATGTACATATACAGGCAGGAGAGGGAGAGTGGAGAGTATGTGTAGTACTGTGGACCTGATTTCTCTGAGCCTGTGAGAATTACAGCCTGTCAGTTCCTGATCTGTTCCCAAAGGAAAGTCTCTTGAGAGCATCTCTCACTCAAGGCCTTTCCTAGCAACTCATTCTGGTGCATGCTGTGAATGAATCCACACTTCTACATTCTGTCCCACAGCGATATAGTACATTCACAAATCAGCTCATTTACCTGGACTCATTGACCTATAGAGACTGAATGCAGGTTAGGTATTAGTTTAATCTTCCTGGAAAAATGAATGCCAAACTTGTTATAAATGTCATTTCACTTAAATTCTTTTGAAATTTTTCAGTTTTGTATGAGATTAGAGATGTCTAACAAACATGCAATGAGCTGCAGGATTCTTTGTAATTTTGACTTACACTCCAGCAACTCTGTACATCTTCAAATTCCAGCTTTAGTTTCAAACTGTTTATAGATATTCAGGGCCCAGATGTTTCATTCATAGAATAAAGTTTGGTTATTATCAGTTTATTGTGTACTTGGTACATGAATCACTTATGTGGAATATTACTTGTCTGACCTTTTCAGTTACAAATAGTATTTATATCTACAAAGAATGAAATAATGTCTTTGTAAATTGCATATATTAACTACTTTTTGGGGTTGCCTGTTAGTATACAAAAGATTACTTCATTTGCAGGGTTTTGCCTTTGTACTGATTCTGATCTCTCATATGGCTTGTTCCAAATTTTTGTGTTGACCATCTCCTTTTAAATAACAGCAATGAACATTCAAAATAACCTTGTCTTTTGTATTTTGAGGAATCTGCTTTGATCTTCAGTTTAAATTTATATTAAATTTAAAGGAGCACTCTACACACTGTAAATCATTCACCAGTGTTATCGTTTTTAAAGGGAAGGGAGGGAAGATGGCATTAAGGATTGAAAAAAGCTCCAGAGTGAATTTGTTAATTCGAATTGGAAGTGCAGAACTGGTGGGAAGGTGGGTGAATAATGTCAGAAAGACCCTAAAGAAAAACACAGGATCATCTGTTCCAGATACTTATATGCTTTGTGGCAACCTTTATTTTCTGGCTTGCTCTTGGATCTGAGTTTCTCTTTTTCCAGCTGTGACAAATTTCTTCCTCTTGGGAGTATACTTGTGTAATTGCTCGCTATCTAACAGAAGAAAGTTATATTCCAGGGTCTGGTCCAGCTAATTATTATATTGATAAGGTTTTTGCTGAGAAACTAAGTTGTGGGAACTGACAATGGTCAAATTTTTAGGCTTCAGGTATTAGTTTGAGCCTGTGTGGAACTAAGTCACACAACGTTCTCACTCTGACCTCAAAAATCATAAGGAGGAATCCAAACAGTCCTTAGAGAAGGAAAAAACCTCTGCAGCAGTTGTTTGGGTCCTTGTTTACTTGCAAGAAATGGTCAATGGGTGATGTTCCAATTGTCCAATGATGGTGATACATTAGTTTCACGACCAATGAGAGTTTTACCTTCCGGACCTTCTCAGAACTGTCTATAAAAGAAGATCTGAAAGAATGTAACTTGCTCTCTTGTGCATCCAAGATATGAGAGTCTATGTCATGCTTCCACCATTCCTAATATAGTGCGACACTACGTAACAAAAATATCTTTTTAAATAGATGTAATGAGGATCAGCTAGAACAGAAAGAAATTGTTCATACCACAAGGGCAAGGACCAAAATATCCTCCAAAAATCCTGAGAAAAAGCATAGTTATACTTTCATGTTTTGGTACTTTTACAAGCACACCTGCTGACTACGAGTTTATGAATTGATCAGTTGTCAGCCAAATAATCACTGAATCAAAGAAATAAAAGAAACCCACTAGACCTACAGACCAAACACTGGAAAATCAAAGATTTTTCTCTTTTATTATTCTATTTTATTTAACAGACAGCTGCTGACTTTTTCTTCTAGTAATTGAGGTATGCCTAGAACCCAAACAAACCTATGGGAAACCAGTGAGGGGGAAAAAAAAAAAAAAAAAAAGGTAGCAGGTAATGCTGCAAATTTGCTTTGGAAAGTGTTGGAGTCTGAGACACAGAGTGTGTGCCCTTGTTTCTGATACTTAGTTCAAAAATCCAGAAAAACACTGAATTTCATAGAACATGAAATTTATGAGCATGTTTTCATGGTGATACATGGAAACTGCTAAAGTTTGATAGAAAGGCTAGAAGTGTGAGTGTGTAGATTAGAGAGTTTCTTAAGTCACTGGCTAAAAAAGTTAGAGTCTAAAACAGTTTAGAAAGAAGAAGACAAGATGGAGGGTTTAGAATGTTGTTTCTTTTCCTTGTTTCTTCTTCAT